GTCGGTGGGATGAGAGACAGAGAAATGTGAACGCATGTAATCAGGGAGAGAGATTTTTTTACTACCTTCCTATTGAGGAGTATCTACTACTTTTCATAGAAGGCATGTATTGGATGGTGAAAGGGCACACATGAAAATATGAGAGGAAAAGCGAAATACACCTTACATTGTGGAATATTTAAATACATTACAACCGCGCACTATTCCAGCCCTCTCACGCATTTGAAGATTTTGGCCGTCAGATTAAGAATCTGGGTCATCTTGGCCGTCCGATGCTCAGTTTCGCGCTAACTGGGCCGCTGTCTAAGCGGCTCCTACTCCGATAGAAAAAACGGTGGCCTCTGGTTAATCGGGCCTGTTTACACTCGGAGCTCATTCAACCCCACGAAGCCCGCAAACACGTCCCTCTCCTTCGTCTATCTCTTTCCCCGACCTCCCCTCGCCGCCGCCGCCACTGCCACTGTCGACGCCAACCTCCAGCCACGGCGTTCCTCTCTCACCCGAGCGACGAAGGCACCCCCTTGACCTCGCCTCCGACCGTATCGTTGTGCGTCACCGCCGCCGCTGCCACTGTCGACGCCAACCTCGAGCCACGACATCCCTCTCTCGACCGAGCGACAAAGGCACCCCCGACGGCGGGTACACGTCGGACACGCACGAGGATCCGAAAGACCGCAAGCACAAGAAGGAGATGGTGGGCGAGTTGCCGCCGCAGGCCTGGTCCAGCTTCTTTCTACGCCAGGTTTGAACTTGTCGGTTGCCCCGTTGCTGGATCCTACCTCGGTCGAGCCCCCGGCAAGCAAGGTACGATCATACGTCATATGATCTTTTGGCGCGATCGAAATAGCATCGGTCACTTGCTGATGGAGGCACGGCCGGTCACGGTGTCTACAATGGCAGCATGTGGATGTGTATGCCCCGACCCCTCCTATACGTGCACCTCTGCAGCGATCTAAAGGTATGGACCATGCTAACCTGCCGTGGCACTCTACAACTACCATATTTCCAATTTCTTTCTGTTGAGATGGCGCTTTAGCCTTTGCACTTGAACTGTTTGATGAATTGCCGATATGATGTCAGTGTTCACCAGATATGATGTGAAAAATATGATATCTTCGGGTATTTATCCTCCTAAATATTCAGATATTCTAACCCTGTAATCCTCACTGCTCACGACTAGACATAGCTTTCTGATGTATCTTTTGGATTTGGTCGATGTCAATCAGATATCAGGACGTTTGTGAGGACATATATTTCCGATACCTGTATTCTGTAGCAAAAAAGTCTAATGTCTCTGTTCTCCAAATAATTGATTACCAACTCACTATACAGCTGCAGATTGGTCAATAACATCTTTTTTCATGTAAGAGCTGGGTGTTTTGATTGAAAGTATATTGGGGATGTATTGAAGTACTTTTTTTCTTTCCCTCTCCCCAGCATTTTTGATCTTCGATATATGCTATATCTCTTTCTACTTCTTTCATGCATTATAAGAAACATGTGACAGTGGACATGTTTAAGAAAAAAAAGAATATGGCAGTGGAGATCAGTAGATCTAATTTTCTTTGCTGTGCAAAATGTGTCTATTTTCTAATGTAAGGCCAACTTTCGCTTCTAGGATGTTTTTCCTTGGCTGCTGTATCTATTTCTAATTTGTTGCAAATTCAATATCTTCATACTAATTCACTGGTTTCATGATTGGCTCCTCACTAAGTTATCACTGGTTCTATGTTTTTTTCTCATGTATGTACATTGTGTTCATAACTGAAATCCCCTTTCCATGACGGAAGCTGATTCCAGATTTTTGACCTCTCTTCAAATTAAATTAAATATATTTTCTGTCAAGCTCTATCATTTATTTTGTGAGCTATTTAGGCCATCCTTATTCTGATTAAGCCAGACATTTTGTGAGTTACTTCTGTGTAATGGTACAACAGCTTTTCTCTGAGCTGGATGACCTGAAGCGATGCTTGATTCGGTACATTTGAAGCGGCACGTTTACAGGACACATGCAGTTTTTTTCACTTTACATATGTTAAATTATATTTGCATGGTGTGGTGTTGTTGCAGCGTTGAGGAAAAATAACAGGTTGTAACATATGAAAATAACCAATACTCCTAGAATTCCAGCTTATAGAGGCTATGGTAGGAATGTTGAGAGGTATGTCTGCTAGCTGCATTAGTTATTTTATAAATTGAGTGGGCAGAAATTTGGAGATTTCTGCGTTCTTTCTGTGGCATCCATTCATTGGTCTGGCCTATTTTCATGTGTTGTAGTACATCGACTAAGAACAAGATCATTATTTTTATCCAGGACTACCAAGTTAAGAGTATTTAGACATTGTTTTGTTTCATTGAGTAAATTGGTCTTGTGAATCTAAATCTGTGTGTTTGTTTGACTAATGCAGGTGTAATTCCTCAAGCATATTGGCTGGTCACCCGAGCCTAATTGACAAATTATTCAACCTGTTCATGGATCAGGCAAAATATTCCATTCATAATAAATGTATTTGGTTTGCTTTCAGTTTGTTGATTTTAACAAGCTTCAGAATACAATAGTTATGTTAGGTCAGTTGTTAGCTTTTTACATCTTCACAAATAGGTCAGTTATTAGCTTTTGACATATTCACAAATAACTGATGATACCTTGCAGGCTATTCAAACGAAAAAAACATGCATGCATCATGACCGGCTCGAGGTGGTTGGAGGTTATTTAATTTAGGTGAAACAGTTCCAACTTCAACTATTTGGTTTGGGAAGTATATATATACTCTTGCTGCTAGGAATAGCAGGCACCATGATATTCTCAGTTTTCTTTATTCTTGTCAAGCTTTACATCACAGCGACAAAGACATGCATGCGTCATGACCGGCTGGAGCTGGTTGGGCGATTAGTTACAGTATTGTCACACTATTATTGGGTATTTTTTCAATGCCTCATATTTGACAAAGGGGATTACATGTATTCTCTCAAAAAAATGACAAGTTTATAGGTGTACTTTTCAATATGTGCTGATGATGTTGATGAGACAAATTCAAGAGCCGATCAACGCCCCCCCCCCCCGCCCCCGCGTCGTCCGTTCGGGCGACTCGGGAGGCGACTCGGGTTCCCACCTAGCGCCGCCCCCCCTGCCTCCTCCCCCCCTCGTCGCCACCCGAGGAGGCCGCCAGCAAGCCTGCGCGGTCGCCGGTGAAGGTGGCGGCGAGGCCCTGCTCGCTCCGTTCCTGGAGGAGGACGGCGGATCTGGGGCGGCGGCCCTTCATGGCGCGGCGGCGGCGTCCCCCCGGCTGGCGGCATCTGCGGGGGCTCTCGGCCGGTGTTCCCGACCAGGCAGGTGGTGGGACGGCGGCGGGTGGTGGCTGTGGCGTGGAGACCCCCCGCCAGATCTGAGGTTCGGCTCCCCTTCCCTTTGGCTCCTCACCCTTGCCGGTTTCAGCAGCTTCGGTCGCCGGATAGGCGTGGATGGGTGCCTGGTGGTGTGGTTTTGGGACCGTGGGAAACCATCGGTCGGCTGTTCCGGTCCGGCGGCAGCGACGCCCTTGGGCGCCGCCCTTCCTCGTTGGAGGTGCAGCCGAGGTCCCACCCAATCCACCCCCGTTCCCCTCCCGGTGAAAGCCCAAAATCCTTCTTGGATTGGGCGGTGACAGCGTGCTGCGCGTCGTGTCCTCCTTGGAGGTGCCGCCTGGGGAGCGTGCGTTCGGGTGAGGGGCGACAAAGGTGGAGTTTTGGGCGGCTATGGTTCTCAGGTGGCTATGGGGAGGTCCGGCTCGCCCTCGTCGCTCTGCGACCTCTCCTGATGTCCTTGCTGCTCGTTCTTCAGTGGCTGCTCCCGGTGGCTTTCCCGCTGTCTTTCAGGGGTCCTTGGTTGCGCCGGTGTGTCATACGAGGTGTGCTTATGTCCTAGGAGGTGTGCTCTGTGCCTGTTCCAAGACTCGAGGTCGACATCTCTCCTGCTCTAGGGAGAGTGTCTCTCATGTCCGTCGGCGGCGACTTTCGATCCAAGGCGAGAGGGTAGGGTCCCTCTACGGCGAGAGCAAAGGAAGATGATTTGTTTCCTCCAACCTTGGACTCAGTCATGTCCACAACTCCACTCTGTTTTGGCAGGTCCTCGTCGTGTTCATGTTGGTCGCAATCCTTGGTTCTTGGTTGCTGCGGTCTGCGGCGTGTACTAGTTTGGGCTTTCTCTTGTTTATGTTGTGAGCTTGTATACTGCGTTGAGTTGTAAGCTTCCTAGGGTGCTCCCTTGTATCGTTCGGCCGATGTGCTTGATGTGGTGTTGTAATTCCTGGCCGGTTGATGGCTTCGTTAATTCAAAGCCGGACTCATCGCGAGCCTTCGTTCTAAAAAAAATGTTGATGAGACGGGAAAACCATCTTTGTTTGTCTCCATCTCCGGACTATGGCAATCCTTCCCCGTAAAAGAGGTTTCACATCCGTTTGTTAGAATTAAATTTGTTTCATTTTAGTGCAAAAAAATAGCCGGTAGCTCAACCTGGCTGCTGAATGACTTAGAAAATATGTCATTGTGTTATTTGATTATTTGTAATTCAGAGTGTGTCCTTCCATTTTTTGGGAATTGGTTGTGTGTGTTTTATGCCATCATACATTTTTATGGATTTCCTATTATTCTATCGAAAAAATGAACGGGCGCGGCAACGCGCGCCTATCATGATCTAGTTTAGGAAAAACAAATACACCTTATATAAAGGAATGAAGGGAGCCCAGCCTCGGACCGTACTTCGAATTTCAATGTGTCAATCATGCAGTTGTGACACTGGTTGTATTATGTTTGGGTGGACACCATTGGCGGAGCTATGTTGAGACCGAGGGGGCCCAGCCTCGGACCGAACTATGAAGGAAATTTTTGAGGAAGGGCTTAGATGTGATTTGTTTTAGCAATTTACACCCCCAAATACTATTGTTTTTGCAAAGTAGCTCATCATAATATATTCTATCACCACAGAAAATTATGATTATTTACACTGTCTTTTCAGATTCGTATCATGGTGTCATTTTTTTAATGAAAATTGTAAGGGAAGCCTCTAAAGTATAAACAGAAACTCCAGTGGTATGCAGGGCCATGGCACGCTCTATCTTGGCCAGCTCGGCCACGATGATCTCCTGGCGAAGGCGGTCCTTCTGGAGCTGCGACAGCAGCGCGTCCCTCATCACCAGCATCGGGTCTCCTGCGTGCATCAGCAGCATTGTGCGGCCATTAGATGTGTCAGCGTGACAAGAATTCTACACCAGCGCGTCCCTTTGCACAACCGCTCTACAACATATGATCTGTCGGTGGAAGAGTTGTACTACTACATTTGCAAGTGTTTTTTATTCTTTTGGCGGTAAGATTGCACAAACTATGTCCGATTCTTTTATCTTGTGCCTCACAAACAGATCCGAAATATAGCTCTCTAGTATAAATATAGTTCTTGGCTTGGAATCGAACCAGCGCCTGCATCTGAACCCAGGAAAACTGGAACAACCAAAAGGTGATAAACGATCGGCAGACAGCGAGGAGAAGGTAAGAGTGACAGTGACTCGACGGTTACCGTGCGGCGGAGGGTCAGGGAAGCGTTGGCCGTCGCCGGCGTCGTCGGTGGCTCGGCCACGGCGGGAGAACTCCATCGGTCGGGTCCTCGGGTTCCGGTGGTAGCAGAGCAGCGACGGCGAGAGGGAGAAGAACCTGAGGCCGGGCCGCCGGAGTTGGTGGGGGACGAGAAGAGCAGGGGCCGGGCGCGCGAGGAAAAGCAGCGTGAAAAAGCAAATTAGGCCCGATCACACAAGGAATGATTGATCGATCGCGGCGGCTTAAGATGTTTTGCTTAGTCACAAAGGAAACCAGAGCCGAGATGCCGAAGTGAGTTTGAACGGTGTGGATGCATGCGTCGGAAACAAATTTGGAATAAATGAGATCTTGCTCATACGGCATCATTACCCGTACAGACCAAATTATCGAATAAAATCACGGACACTTTGATTGCTGCTGACATTTCAAACGAATTCGAAATCAAATTCCCAAAGCAAACCTGCCACAGATGTGATCTGATAATACAACCAAAAGTTGGTGATTCTTCTGAGAAAGAAGCAAATGGTGCGGCGATTGTTCAAGGGGCTAGGGCTCACTCAAATCAAGGAGCAGGTGAGATTGTAACGCTTCGTTTGGATGTCTCCATTGGGGAGCTCCGTATTGTATTGGTCTGAATTCCAAATCAGTGAGGAAACTGAAATGATGGGAATACAAATTCACATGTTTGGTTGTCCAGTGAATTGGCCCTTGAAATGCCTCCGAGATTTCAATACCAAATCATGTTTGGATGACACAAGGTACCAAATCATGTTTGGATGACACAAGGTACATAGCAATGCACGACACAAGGTAGCTCTTCTTCGATTACAACAACTATCTTAGAACCCTCAGTGGATCAGCACTGGAAATCGGAGAAATCAGCTCTCTTTCGAAAAGGAGAAAAAGGGAACCACTCCTTTCTAGTTTAACTAAAACTAAAAGATCTAGAAAACCTAATATGTACACCTGGATGGAACATGTTGACACCTAGGGACATAAACACGTAGATTCTTCACCAAATGAACTCCAGTGCAGCCACCGACATGACAAGTTGCAGCTGCACCGTGCTAACATTTGCAGATTGACATGTTAATCAGACACTAACCCATGGTACAATAAACACACGACTTCGCAACAAACCGCCGCTGCTCTGCAACTGCTGCCTCTCAATGGCTTGCCTGAAGGTTCTGCCTGTGTTTCTTCCCGGCAAGATGCGACTCCTTCACCTTCTCGCTGGAGTACTACACTTTGCAGAGCTTGCAGAAGGGAAATTTGCTTACAAACTCCTTCCTCGGATATTCAGCACCCCTGCGGTCAGCGAAATGCTTGCCCTCCTCGTTGCCTCCTGCCTTCCGGGTCTGTGCGCTCTCCTGATGGCTCCTCCCTTTGAGATGGTAGCTCCCGGCTTCTGTGTGCAGGGCCTGCGTGCTTTCCTGGTGGCTGCTGCCCTTGAGATGGTTGCGCAAGTCAAATCCAAAGGCTTTCTGCCTGGACCGCAATGCCGCAAGGTTCAACCGGTGTAGTTCGCGTGCTTTGTGTTGCATTAAGTCTTCTTCACGGGTCAGGTTCACTTGACAGAGGGTGCAATTCCATTCGTCAAGTGGCTTCTACCTCTTTTGTGATGGAGTTCAAAAAATAAATACACCTTAAATAAAAGAACGAAAGGAGTAGTATAGTAAAAGACTAGTGAACAAGGAAGGTAAACTCAGGTACACTAGAAGAACGCCCGTGCGTTGCAACGGGGCCACATTAACTTTAAGAGTTCAATATTACGACATTGGCGATTTTTTTTACCATCAAATCCTCACACACACAGACACACACTCTCCCTCCCTCTTCCTCGCTCTCTATCCCCCTCTCCCTCTCTCTCTAACACACACACATATCCATCTTATTGGGTACGGGACCATAATCAATCTATTTCACACATACACGCTAGTGCATAACAATATGGATTATGTGTATTATATTTGTCACCAGAACTAGGGGAATTAATTTCATGTAAATCGACCAGCCACAACTCCAAGAATACGCGGACGAGGTGGCTCGGGTAGGCGTCGGCGCCGTCCAGCGCGGGCCACGGGCCCGCTTCCAAGTGCACGTGCAATGCACGTCTTCACAAATATTATAACCAGATGTAAGAAATCACATGCATATAAAAGATATTCTGATAGCAATCCAAATACCATACTCAATTGAATACCTAACCTGGACAATACTCTTATTTCTATGCGCCAGAAAAAATGGAATAGCAAAGCTAAGTATGCCTACATACGCTCAGATTATATATAAGAATCTTGGGTGAACAATTGCAACAAAGCACTAAGCAGCGATAAATTTAAATAAAAAATCCATTAACTATGCAGGCAGCAGGCTTGTTACAATATAGAGAGATAGGAAAATGTCACCTCCAGTAATGTAGCGCAAAGGAGTGGAACGAAGCATGAATGAGCGGTTGTCTGTTCTTCTCCATGTACATGGATCAGCAATAGAGACCAAGTATATAAGTACTTGACTAAACTCCACTCTTCGTGTACGGAGAGCCATGTCACCTTCTCGCCGCTGTAGCATGGGAGGACGGCTGGTTCACGTGACCCTCCAGCTGGGGGATCCATGGTGGCTGACCGTCGAGCTCGAGGCAGAGAAGTTGAGGGCAGCAGTGGCGAGATCCATGTCGGCCAACCGGGCGAAGAGGAGGTCGTTGGGGAGGGACACATCGGCAAGATCTGATCACCACGCGACCTGAAGAGCAACAGTGATCTCCACAAGCTGTAGGCCGACGGCGTGCTCCATCCCCTGCGATGGGGTGACCATGGCGGTGGCCACAGCTCCTCATGCTCGCCTCGATCTCGGCGACACACCCTGAGTGTAGGAGGCAGCAACGACCTGGACGATATCATGGCCTCCATCCCGGAACGCATGAAGGACCTCGGCCCCGTCGCTACTCCTCCCGCCGTAGCTGCACGCGGCAGCGGACCGTGGGTAGGAGGGCAGGCGGCGTCGCCTCGGCTGACGGCAGGGAGCAGCGTTGATTTCGGGTAGGTGGCATCGCAAGGATGGCCGCGGCCGCGGGGAAGCACCCCGATCATGCTGCCAGGCCAATCCTTCTCCTCCGATCCCCTATCCCCGAAGATTGCGCCGCCGCCCCGGTCGTGTTGTTTCCATATATTATGCCATTTTTTCCTGTACCTAAACAAACGCGGGCGAGCGGATGGCAGAGTTTTGGTCCGCCCTCTAAAATTGCTAAACGCACTTTTGGTGAGGATTATTGTTAATAAATGAATTCAATCATGTCGCTATAAATAAATGGATTCAATCATGTGACTCTAATTACTTCGGATTGTTATGTGCACACTAAGCAGAGTGCAGTTAGGAAATAAAATGTTTTCTATTAAAGTGATTGAGTGATTTAAGGTAAGGTTAATTAATTTAGATTTGATTTTTAGTGATTGTTAGTAAAGTATGATGCGTCTTTAAAATCTTTTATTTGTTTCCTTAAAATCTATTATTTGTTTCCTAAAGAAATTTGCAATAATGGAAGGTATCGGTTGATTTGGATAAGATAGTAAATTTAGATCCGTGATTGCGTGCATGTTTGGAAAGTGCTGATTTGCAAGGAAAGAGCTGAGGGGTAAATAAACCGGTGAATAAGAAACCAACATCGAAAAAAATCTACGACGGTTAACCTACGAAAAAAATCGGACGAAAGTGGTGGGACGAAAAAAAACCTGGAAGCAAGACTACCAACTGCAGTTAGGAAAGAAAATGTTTTCTAATTAAAGTAATTGAGTGATTTAAGGTAAGGTTAATTAATTTAGATTTGATTTTTAGTGATTGTTAGTAAAGTATGATGCATCTTTAAAATCTTTTATTTGTTTCCTTAAAATCTATTATTTGTTTCCTAAAGAAATTTGCAATAATGGAAGGTATCAGTTGATTTGGATAAGTTAGTAAATTTAGATCTGTGATTGCGTGCACGTTTGGAAAGTGCTGATTTGCAAGGAAAGAGCTGAGGGATAAATAAACCGGTGAATAAGAAACCAGCATCGAAAAAAATCTACGACGGTTAACCTACGAAAAAAACCGGACGAAAGTGGTGGGACGAAAAAAACCTGGAAGCGAGACTACCAACTGCTCCATTAGGAGTAAAGATATACTACTACTACTACTACTACTACTACTACTACTACTACTACTACTACTACAATCCAGTTCTATAATTAGTTTTGACGATAAGATGTAATAATATATATTAAGTTGCATATTGGACGAACTTGCCTAACTTTTTTTTTGAAAACCTCCATATATTACTTTGGTAAATTAAGGTTCTCACAATTGTTCATTACAAAAGCAGTTACACATGGCGGAACACTATTACATAAAAGGCCCTCGGATCTACTGTAAAAACTAAATTTTGCAATCTCGTGCGCCACCTTATTTGCCCGCCTATCAATCTTCGTGATCTTAAAATCCTTTATGAGTTTTGATACGCTCAACGCCTCCATTTTCAGGTCCGCCAACGGAGACCTGTCAATGGAATCTCTAGCCAGACAAGAAACAACAAAAGCGTAATCAGTTTCCAGGATAATTGGTTTGTGAAGTGTAATACCTATGTATAACCCGGCAAGGGCCGCACGAAGTTCCGCTTCATCCACACAAGTACATGAGCGGATAAAATCCCATGTTGAGAGCAATACTTCGCCCAGGTCATTCCTGACAACAACTCCAACACTAGCAGATCTCATGCTCTCCACAAAACTTGCATCAACATTAATCTTAATATACTCAGGATGCGGGGGCTCCCAAACTCGGTGACCAATTGCGGGTGGAGTAGCATACCTCCACTTGTCAACCACCCCTTACCTTTATTGCTCATGTCAACTTGCACACACGCATTTGTCGCCGTAAAAGATTTCCAGTAATTTTCCACAAATATAGCAGAAGCAGATAAAGACTCTTTCCCCCTTCCAAAGATCAGATCATTCCTCAGGTGCCAAGCTCTCCAAAATATGAATAAAACTTGCTCGCGAACCGGTGACCTCAATTGGTCAAGCAGAAT